TCTTAGACTGCTAAATTAGGGACGGCTAACGCAGATAGCCCTCGTGTAGCTTTGCGCGAAATTCAAAAACAAACAATCCTTACTAAAAATGTCGAAATTGCTCTCGTTATTTAAATTGTGATCAATCACAAAATGGATTGCAAGAATCCGAAAATATCTTCTTCAGGTGACAGTCGTAGACCACTTCTGTGTACACAAGGTGATAAAACTGTTTTATGAAAATGTAGATAGTCAGAACCGTTCTATCCTATGGGCAGTTGTCCGGGTCCCATCGCGCGAGAGCACAATGTGGTCAGAGATGGGAGGAGCGTCCTTGATTTATTTAATTAGAAAATAACTTCATTGTTTTTAATTTAATTCTAAATTTGTAATCTTATTTTAATACATTTTTATTAGAGAAATTTATTTTAGTTAACCTTATTTTATTACACATGAAATTCCTCATTGGTTGTTTGGAGTCACTATGACAACATAATTTTGTGTGAGTCTGAGAATATAGAAGTGGCTGTTTAGACAGTCACGTTTGAGTCTGAGAATATAGAAGTGGCTGTTAAGACAGTCACGTTTGAGTCTGAGAATATAGAAATGGCTGTTAAGACAGTCACGTTTGAGTCTGAGAATATAGAAGTGGCTGTTAAGATAGTCACGTTTGAGTCTGAGAATATAAAAATGGCTATTAAGATGGTCACGTTTGGGTCTGAGAATATAGAAATGGCTGTTAAGATAGTCACGTTTGAGTCTTAGAATATAGAAATGGCTGTAAGACAGTCACGTTTGAGTCTGAAAATATAGAAATGGCTGTAAGACAGTCACGTTGGAGTCTGAAAATATAGAAATGGCTGTAAGACAGTCACGTTTGAGTCTGAGAATATAGAAATGGCTGTTAAGACAGTCACGTTTGAGTCTGAGAATATAGAAGTGGCTGTTAAGACAGTCACGTTATGAGGACCAATCCCGCAAGCATAAGACATTATTTGATAAGTCTAAGAGTCCAGGTGCTGTTTTAGAATGCCGCCAAAAGTTTCAAGCTAAGACGTTCAATACTGTCATTGACGCTCTTGTTAACTGTTTACGCGGTAGGAAAGAGACTTCTGGATGACCTTGTATCCATAAAAATTGAACCTCTTCACAAAACTGCATCTATTCTACAACAAGTACTCAGATGATTTGGAAGTCCCTGACGAAGTTGTTGAATTTCAGATTTTAGTGTTAACCTATTTTCCCAGCAGCTCTTGTGGTGGCAGTAACAAGAAAGAGAGCATAGAATAGTGCATACTGCAGCAAACTGTTACACGAAGGAAACAGTCTTGGTCTATGAAAATGTAGGCGTAGCCCTTCACAATATACTTGACATTAAATGTGTTCTTAGCTAAGGGAGCACATTCATTCTCAAAAATTGGAGAGCCTGAACTCAAGAGTTACGTTCTACAATACAAGAACGCTTTGACGTTAATGTTAATTGAGAACGACAGTGTAAAGCTAATAGATTTCACCGACATCACTGATGAAGATGCAAGGCTAAAAGCCATAAAAAAGTTGCGAGTATTATAATAAATAATCAAATATGAAGTGTATAATAAAATAATTATTATTATTTGTAATTAAGCACAAAGCTACACAAAGGGCTATCTGTGCTCTGCCCACCACGGGCATCGAAACCCGGATTCTAGCGTTGGAACTTTTACATGCTAAATAAGCAAAAGAATCAGTATTGAAATCGTCATGTTCAATATGCATATAAAAAGTATATTTGAATTGGTTTTACCCAGCCATACTATACTTAAAATTTACAAACACGACATTCGAAACTTTAAAAGACTGATAACAAAAACTAATTCACTTTATTAACTATTAATAAAGCAAAGTTCTTGGCAGTGCTTATTGTGATGTAGTCTAACTGAATCTTTACATTATTGAAATTCATGAATGTTTAGTATCTTAAGATATAACTCCTGTTAAAATTATCGCTGAATTATGCTCAAATATTTACCAATAGTTGTCAGCCATTAGAGAATTGTAGGTCAACAGATTCTATTTCTGGAACTATTAATATCAACTTTTTAATGCTGTGTTACTGGATAAATTTTCTTTTTTTCGTTATTAGAGAAACCTCCAATCCTTTATAATGACTTGACAGTGCGTATTTTTATTATAGGTTTTACTTGGAACTGATAAGATCAAATCCACCATAATTTTTTCGAATAAGTGTGTTATCAAACTGTAAGAAGACTTTTCATGTTTGTTTTTGCTTTGTGTTAAGTAATGATCATGTACTTCTTTACTGATAAACTAATCTCACTAAAGCCAGAATCCAGATGCCAAAAGTAATTAAAGTGACTGGTGTTTCGTGCCATTATCTCTCAACTCTTTATACATTACAGAATATCTACTTTGGTCGAGAAATTTAAAAAAACATCCATAATTTTTTTACAGTAAGACTACAAAAACTAAAAAAAATACATTATTACCTGGTCAATAGCCTTTTGTAGTAAATAACTGAATCAAATAATAAGAGAGGTATAACATCAGATTGGAAAGAGTTGATGTAACACGTTGTAGTCGTTTGTATGAAATACAGTAAATAACATATAATACATTTATCTCAATAGCATGTCTGATAAGAATCTGGTGATTTTTATGTGTTTCATTTGTGATCAAGTATTAAATATAACATATAATGTTGACAAGTTATACTTGGAAGTAGAAACACAGGATTTCTATATGTGTTTCATTTGTGATCAAGTATTAAATATACCTTATAACGTTGACAAGTTATACTAGGAAGAAGAAACACAGGATTTCTAATAGAATCTGGATTACTAGCTTGACACAATATATCCTTGAACTCTTGTATGGATAGTTAGAAAAGTAAAGTATTCTGAAAAAAATCACTATGCAATATATAAAGCATTGACAAGAAACAGAACATAAAACAAAGCATTGTACAATTGGTTGGTTTATTCAAGATATAAAACACTGAAAACAAGCACAGAAGACAAAACGTTATACAAATAGTTTGCTTATTCACTGACAGTAAGCACGGAAAACAAAATAAAGCATTATATACATTGTTTCTTTATTAATAAGAAGCCAGTTAAAGAAATACACGAGAATTGATATAAACGAACGGTTGTTAGAAAATACCATTTAATAATATATATATATATATACATGAACATATATATATATTTAGATGACTTGTCGTAGAAAGTTACAGTAATCATGATACAATAATTGAAGTTCACTTAAAAATCTCGGTTGCTGAGAGAAGAATACAAATATAAAAGAATTCCATACAATTAGTGTTTTCTGTATCTTTTGTAATTATTAAGATTTTGTGTCTATTTTTGTAGGAATGTTCGTGCATCTATAGGTTTTTTTCATCAAACTGTTTCTCACACATAGACACGAATAAATGATTATCTGCCATCGACTTAGGTGGGAGAGTGGACGGTTTTTTTCGACTCTACCGTGCCTAACAATCTTCAATATTAAAAAAATCTATTTAACATATACAAACTAAAAGCTTTCTCTAGTATAGTATAAACAGATAATCTTTATCTATCTTCAGAATAAAATTCTTTCTTTTCCAATTTCCTTTTGCTTTCGTTCATGAAATCTAATGTTTCACGAATTTCTGTATTCACGTGCAAAAAAATGGAGCAATTAAACTTTCCTAAATTAGGATGATTTCAAAGATATTCAGATATTAAACAGAAATCAATGTAAAAAGATTGAAATAACAAAACACCAACAAGAAAATGATCTACGATATAGTATTATTGCTGACTAGGAGAGGTGAATTATTTTTTTTAGGTTTTCTACTTTTGATATAGCGAAGTATAAACCGTATGAACAAACATGGTTAATTTTAACATTTCTAGAACGTTCCCGCAGCGTAGTTTCATATTAAGAGATTTTATTTTTACCGTTGAGTATCACGAGACAAATGACGTCAGCATTCAGTATTCCCTGAAAATGAAAAGATTAACAACCAGCATAAAAAAAATAGAAAAAATGAAACATTTATTTGCAGTTACTTAATACGATATAGTGTGTGAATTTTACAGTAGTTAATTCAATTTTAAATATCATAAAACATGGTTATTTTCGTTTTCAGTTTTTAAAACTCTACGAGTAACAAACTTTACAGTTAGTTCTAAAATTGCCTATTTCACAATATTCTATTAAATTAAGATTTTTCACAATAACAACAAATCACTGTAGCCTTTAAACAATTAAAATATTACAGATGCATTATTCTAACAAGTGTTGTTGCCTTTACAGTTCTAAGCCGAAAAATAGGTCATCTGGGCTCTATCAACTACGGGGAATCGAACCCCATATTTAAGTGTTATAAGTATGTAAGTTAACTGCTGACGAACTGGTGGATACCTAGGAACTGTAAATTGCTCCAAACTTCTTTTTAATCCTTCCTAAACATTGAAAATAATGATTATTTTTAAGTCATCAACTAAGAACCAATTAATTTTTAACACACTTTCAAAACAGCTACTAACCTTAACACTTCTATTGCTGTATCTACAAACTGGGGAATGATTTTTATGTCATTTTCAAGCTCAACTTTTGTCAAACACTTATCACTCGTATAAAGCTAATACTTTAGTAATTTTTTTGTAGGAATCATTATTATTATTAACCAGAGGTGTTAAGTGTTATTGAATCCTTTTATAGATGATTCTCCTTCTCTAGTAAGCTAAAGTTTCGATCACGATGAAGCCATGATGCAACGTATACTCTCGAACAACCAAAATGATGAACAAGAGCCACAAATCATATGTTGTTTCTAACGGCGTTATATGTAATAACTGACTTTAGGAAGAACTGCTTATGACATGTGTGTACGTACGAGGTCATTGTTTTTCCACCGGTGACATGTTCGGTAGGTTAATTTTTGAAGTTTAACACGATTTAGTTAAGGCCGCAGTCGGTCCTATAGACAACGCCCAACTACTTCCTTTAGCGCTTGAGGGCAAATTACATCTCTTTTTTTTTTTTTACCTTTTATGTCCTTATGAGGTATTATAGATTTTCAATCAAATGTAAGAAGCTGTGGTGTTATTTCAAAATACACAATATTGGCTTATATTACAACAACTGAAAATATGTGAAATATTTACAATTAATAAATTATTCTGTTGAAGTGATAAGCGTTATTTTTAGCAAATACGCTTCTTGTACGAGATATATTCATCTGTGAAAAGCAACAATTATATAAATGTAAATGGAGAAATAAATGTAGTACAACAGTATCCAAACACAGTTTTTCAATCCAAATTTCATCAAAAGTAACAGTTTTCTCTAGAGCGGGAGCGCAAGACCGCGAATTCTTTACTTTCAGGTAAAGTTTATGCCAAACTTAAATGCTTTGCCACCAAGAAATAACTAAAGAATGTCTTAGTTTTCATTTTATTACTTTATCATAGCTAGGAGGCGGTGTCTCTGCCTGCTGATTATAGGTTCTTTCCATAGGGTTACAGACTAAAGCTAAAGGACAATCTAAAGCTATTTCATAGGATGGTGGATCATCCCTGATTGGCAACTGAGTGGATCTTGCATTATCTGTGAAGAACGAACGCGATACGCATGGCTGAGCGACCGGGAGTGTTGTTTGATCCCTGATGTAAGCTTCTTGGGTTGGTGGTGCATGATAAGAAGACCTTGAAAGGCGGCTGGTCGATTGTACCCGATGAAGAGAACTTGAAGAATGTCGTCGAAAGGAACGGTATGTTCTATAAGGGTAAGATGACCTCATGTTCTGGTGGTGAGAAGATCTGGATGAATAATGACGAAATGAGGAGCTATACGAGGGATGGCGAAGGGAGGAAGAGCGTAAATGTTGGAAACTGGAGGGAGAACGAGCGAGAGGAGAGTCAACGACGGCAGAAGAGTGCTGCTCTTGCTGGGGTGGGGAGCGGTTGTGGTAGTGGGAAGATAGGTGATAATGTACTGGGGCGTGGGTGTATGAATGCAAAAGAGTAACTCCTGAGCGAACATCACGCATGCCACTAGTTGATGGGACGTTGTACAAATTATGTGGTGTAGAACGATTGGTCATTGACAGTATATAGTGCTGCGGAATCTCACTTGTCACTTCAATATGTGGCGTGGCTTCCTCCAAATGACACTGGTGAGCACGCAGCAACGTCATCAACATGCAGGAAAAGACAGCCACTAATAGCAGCCCAAAAGTTGTGAGAAAAATGCGCCTGGTGGGAGGCACATCCTGTAAGTAGATTACTACCGGTATAGCTACAGGTAACACAAGTAGCAAGCAGCGAAGCAGACTCTTGTTGAGCTCAGTGCTAGACGCTTTGGCCACGTCCTGGTCAGCCACACTAACTTCAGGTTGTTGAACTGTCTCTTGTGCGCTGTCGTCCATTACTTCGTCATTTCCTCGAGTACTGAATCCTTGATGTATATAGAAAAATGTGTATTCAGAAAATATATTATTATTATACAATCTTTAGCTTTTTGTGTTAAACTCACGTTTATTTACGAAGTACATTTAAAAACAAAATTATTCAACTGAAAAATTATTTTGCTTCAAATATTTCCTACTCTCTCACTCTAATAACCAACATCATCCAAGAATACAATTGTCTTGTATTATAAAATCATAAAACTAGCGAAACAGATATAAATTACGATAGTCTACTTATGGTAAAGACACATTTCGTTAGCCATTATCATTTATTCCAGGTTTGTCATATGTTACATATAAAAAGTAGTACAAATCCTCAATTACAAACTGTATTTAAGATTTCATTTCTCTTAACCTTTGGCACGAAATGTTTCTATCTTATAAATAAATATTATAAAATAATTCTAACTTAAAAGGTAGTGTGTGTCACGTCACGCTTGAATTATTTCGATTTCTCTAAAAATAAGGAGTCATAAAAGCCAAAATGCACTTATTCTGATAGAAAGTTCATTTACTTCTGCCCGTTACGATTTTAGTGACGGGGTGCAAGGGAGCCGTGAAACCTTATAAGTGTAGTGAGTGTTGGTATAATATGTCTAAAGTAAAGACGTAGTGTAGGATATCCTAGCCTAGAGCCAAGTGCATAAAATTTATCATAAAAGTAAAAAAAATATCGATTCAATTTTAAACTTAAATCGTTTCTAAATTAAGCAATTTTCTGTTATATCACCAACGTTTTTAATAAAAACAAACCTCTTTAATTAATCAACAGTGACTCTAAATTAAGAAACCAACAAATATTTTTCAAGTTTTGTTGTCTATACATTTCAGTTTATACTTTCAAGACATAAACTAATAACAATATTAGATTATACTTTCGTTGCTAAGCAATATGACGTAAAAGCCATTGCTGGAAGTAGTGTTACCAAAACGCACTGGCTTTTCTATATATTAGAAGTTGTTAATGTAACTGATTTTTACCAATAATTATTATATGAATATGACACGAATTCATTTCAGGAATGACCTTAATTTTGATTGGCCCACAAAGGAATTTACTGACGTTTGACTGCCTTGACTGCACTTTTCTGCTTTTTTGTTGGTCAAGTATAATTACGCAAAATTTATTTATTTCAGTTAGCTATGAAATGTGAGGTTAGGACATACTATGAGGTGAGAGTGGTAGTATTTGACCCGTTATTTTTGACGGGCTATACACTAGTATATATATTTAATAACCAGCAAGAATGATTGTGTTATTTATAAAATTGGATATGAATGACATGCTTTACACGTTGGTGAAGCAGAACGCAAAGTAAGCACGTGCATAAATTCAATGTTCACAGATACCATCTGTGTGGTGCTAATAAAACTAATTTTTAAAATGAGTATGCTAAAAATTTCAACCATAGAAAATATTAAGTACAAATACAAAATTGAAGAGACATCATTAATTCTAAGATAAAACTAGGCATAATTCAAAGTTTTTGGCAAAAAAACGTAAATATTTCTGCTTCTAAATGGAGCTCCTGACAAAGACTCAAAGCTGAAATATCGAGCTATTAAAATAATCTAATATACTTTGATTAACAAGTCGTTTCATTATGTAGAAAACCAAAATTAAATCACCATCTAAGTCATAATACCGTTTTTCCAATCTCTGCAGTGTGATTGGCAAATGTTAATCAAAACTCCACTACATTTTCAAGTTTTAAGCGCTATATTTTTAAATTTGAGCTTACTGCCACTCGTGAATATAAAAAGGGCCATTCGCGAGCGCAACAACCTACGAACAATCGTAGCGCGTATGCAGTGGCTGCACGCAGTAAAAATAAATTTTCCTAGCTACTGGATGTAGTGGAGAAATGTGCAAGCTTTATCGAACAGAACTAAGTAAACAAACAACAGTCAAGGAGAGAGGTAGAGGTCAAGTGTGTACCTGATCCTCCCGGGTCTCTTAACCAAATCACAACCACAGAGAAACATAAAGATAAGGACTTAACTAGATAAACCGTTTAATATATATCGATTTATTTTCATTAAAATCCTTTTATTACAAGTCTTTGTCAGTAATATTTTCCAACAGTTTAGTGTCAGTGTCAGTACAGTGCTTTTAAGTGTGTTTTAGCAGTTTCTTAATTTATTTTTCATAATATGGTATTCTACAAAATCTCTGAAAGTTTGTTAATTGACATTATCACTTTTTTAATTGTCGTTATCAGTTTGTTAACTGCGGTTTTCTTAACTGTCGTTCTCCATTTATTAACAGTTTTCTCAGTTTTTTAACAATGCTCTCATTTTGCAAACTGTCCGCTCAGTTTGTTAATTGCTGTCTTTAGCTTTTTAAATCGTTCTCAGTTCGATAGTTGCGTTTTCATTTGGTTAACTGTCATTTGCGGCCTTTTAACTCGTTTTGAATTTGTTGACTGTGTTCTCAGTTCGTTAACTGTCATTCTCAAATTGCTAACTTTCGTGCTCAGTTCAAGATGGCCAGTTTTTTATACTTGTTAGTGTAGTATATTGGAGGTTTTGGAATAGTTTCCTGTCAAAATTTTATCATCTGGTATTGCAAAAGTCATGAAATTGTCCTTGTGAACTTTGGTTTTCAGCGAGATGAGAGTGTTCCATGAACGTTTCTTTAAATTATTTTTCACTTCTTGATGAAATATATTTGTTAATGTATTACTGGGAAGTGAACCTGATTTTTCTATTTCCAACAACATGGACTTCTCATAAACAAATTATTATTTAACTACTAGCATTCACTGTGATAAAAGTATAGACGCAGCTTTCTTTATAATAAAACAGTTAACGCATAATCAACCAACCATATTACTTTTACGTATTTCCCTTTAGTATGTTTTTGTTTACGGGAAAGTATGAAACGCACTTTAGAATATGAAAAGTCATGATAATAATTCAGTTTCGTGATAATAAATGGTTATTAAGCTAACACATTATATTTGTAATCTAGAATCAAATTCTGGGATTTATTTAACTATATATATATATATATATAACAGCAGAAAATATTACCATTAAATAGATTTATATCTCAACTCAATTCTAATTCTAAAACCGCGAAACATGGGGTCATATCTCAACTTAATACCCATACTAAGAGCGTATAACTAATCACGAAGAAGCAAAATCTCACAAAAAACAACACACACCAAAACCGAAATATTTGCTACTTTATTTCTTCTCTAGCAGGTTTTTGTTATCGTAATTATTGTGTCCAATGTTGTAACCATGGTAACGAGTCTGTTTCGTGACTCCATTCCTGGGAATATCTTATATGAATGATACTATCTACATTTGAGTAGTTAAACGATCGCAGTACAAATTCTGCGCAGTGAATACAGAATAAAACCTGTATCGCATATCTTCAATTCTTGAAACACAGTAAGAAAACATAGCAGAATAATATATGAGCAAAATAAACCCGATGAACTCTTAATCAAACAATCCTATATTCACATATCTATAAAATTAACATGTTCTGCTTAACTCAATCTCTGTAATATTTGAAAGAAACGAAACAACCATCTCCTCTACAAAGAAATTACTTGGATGTAAACTATTTGTGAACAATTTCGCTTTTTTGGGATATAACAGTGACTGTATTTGCTCTTATTATAACACTGTTCGCCTTTGACATTTTGATGATGGTAACACAACGATGATGTTGCTTATATACTTGTATGTGTTCAGAGGCTGAGTTCGTTATATTGAATCGATTTTAGAGTTTCACCACGTACGGTCATACTCTATCTGGTACCTTGGTAGGTCAGCGGTAAGTTTTCGGAATTACAACACTAAAATCCACGGTGGCCATAGTGCAGATAGCCTATTGTGTAGTTTTGCACTAGGTACAAATAGTTAAAACCAAACAAGTCCTACCTGATGACTGTGCATTTTGACAATAGCCCTGTAGCGCAGTTTCCATTTCAAAAGGATCCAACGAAAGGTTATCATATTTAAATAACACCACTCCTACCTGCAGACTTTCCATAATCAACCTAGTGTACAAGGACGACGGTTTTCGAACGCCCTTTTGAACAGTCCATTCGCATAGAAATCCAAAGGCGTTGTGTCGGGTGACTTGACTGGTATGTATTCCAATGAAAGAGCATGAATATCTTTCTTGATTATGTTGTTTTTTGTTACTTGGGGTATGAGGACGGTTTTGTCACTGATCTTTATGCTGTAGATTCTCACTTGATGCAACACACCGTACTTTGCTTAACACGACTGGGGATGATTTTTGCAGGTCTCTTTGTGAATGGTCATGAAGTCCCAAATTGATCCACACTCCTTTGTTTTACAATGCCATTAAGTACAAGGGACATTTCAGTCTTGGAAATACTATATCTCCAATCCGAATACATCTTTATGATCTTAGTGTATTAATATGTTGCGTCGAAAAGAGCTACTACACAATTCTCCAAACAACGTCCAAATGTAATTCTGATTCATGCCGTCCTACTGCTACTTTATATCGGCTGTGTTTGCCAAGTGATCATCTCAGTTTCATATTCAAAATCTATTTAACATAACGTACTCAACCGCGTATTCAATTTATTATATGAATCCTATTATATGACTTACTAGCTGAGACTAGACAATATACCTCTTTGCTGATATGATGTACTTTTAATTCGTTAGTAATATGAATGCAAGTTCTTTTGTTTTCTGTTAACATAACAATGGCAGTATTGTTTCTTAATATGGTTGTTCCTTTTCGATATATGACTATTTTCTGTTAATATGACAATCACTGTATTTTTTTAAATTTAACTGTTCCTATCTGTCATATAGTACCTAATTTCTTTAAATATAACAACGATTTTATTGTTTGTAAACATAAGTGTCCCTATTTGAAATACAATATTTCTGTTTGTTAGTTGTAGAAAAATATATCGGTATTAAGTTCATTTGGATAAGAAAACATTCATATGACTGATATAGTAAATCCAAGTAGTATCGATTAATTGTCATTGGTTTCCATAAACTTTGCTGTTGATAATGTTTATAATCCTCATTTTTAGGAATGTCTGTCAACTATTATCAAAAATAAACATAAATATAAATTATGATCAGTTTTATTCAATTAAGCGTTATAAATGATCAGTTTTTCTTCTCCTAAGCATTGTTATAGATTAGGATTAGTTTTAACTGTGTAGCTTGTATTAACAGTTTTCTGACATCAATTATTATGAGTTCCATTAATGACTGCTGATGACCTATAGTGTTATTGGTGAAACAGATCAATGTTTCATCTGTTAAGCATTATTATAAATTATGATGAGTTTTTCTTTTGCTAAGCATTTTTATAAATTAAAATCAGTCTTTTCTTCTGTTAAGCATTATTCTAAATTAAGCTCAGTTTTTCTTATGTTAGACATTATTATAAGTTATGTTAAGTTTCTTTTGCAAAGCATTATTATAAGTTATGAAAAAAATTTCTTCTATTAAGCATTATTATAAACTATAACCAGTTTTTCTTCTGCTAAGCATTGTTATAAATTTAGATCAGTTTTCCTCTGCATTATCATAAATTGTAATTAGTTCTTAAAGAGTATAATTTGTATTAGCAGTTTTTTGTGCTCTCCGGAAAAATATAATTTTGACAACAATTATTATGAGTTCCATTATTGATTGCTGATGATTTACAACTGTCATTGAAGATGGCATGTAATGTTATTGCTGAAACAGATGAATGCTAGTACTTGATGTTCAAGCAAAAAGTGCATGCTGAATTTGAGTTTCCAAATTCATCATCCAAGGCGTGACTCTTTCTACCAACATTCTTGCCTTCATTTCGAGATATCATTTAAATTAATACTTGATTTATAACTTAGAAATATTAGAAAACCTGTTATATTTGCTTTGTGTTGATCACAATGGGCTGTCTCTGTTGTGTCCACCGTAGGGATCGAATCACAAATTTTTGTTTTGTAAGTCCTCAAGCTAACCGCTGAGCCACCAAAAGCATGAACAGGTCAAGATACTATCTACACAATATTTCATCCATCACAAAAACCTATGAAGAATATGTTTTAATCAATTCCTCCTGTTAATTCAAAGTCAAAAGCACATTTACTGCTCTCTAAATATTTATTTAAAATACAAACTTAACTTTACCAAACTATACTACAGTGAGTAATTGAAATATATGCAAAAACCAATCAACATTTCAAAGACATGCATACCATAAGTTGTCTTCCAAATCTCCTGTGCAAATATGACATCATATTATTCACAGCTTGGCCGCCTTGATCAACTTGACCATAAGCCCTTTCGAGTCAAGTCACTATCGATCAGTGACTAAGGCTTCATGAAATGGTGGAACGTTTAAAAGTTGAAAAACCGGAAAATGTGCTTCATAAAATAGTAAATGTAAACTAAAACTATGCAGTAAATTGTTTAGCTGATGTTGCTTCTCTTCGTCTTGAAGTATAATGTATAAGTATATGTAATTGTAAGGTTATGCATCTCTGAAATGGTTTTACTTTAATTATATTAGGAATAGAATATTTAGTATTTGATGAAAACTTTGTAACATAATGTTAGCATAAGTTTCGCCATTTCTTTAGAGCAGCTAGAATTTGTTTGATGTTAAGCACAAAGCTACACAATGGACTGTCTGTGCTCTGCCCACCGCAGGTATTGAAACCCGAATTTTAACGATACAATCCCTTAGATCTACCTCTGAGTCACTAGTGCTTAGGGAAAGTTTGAGTTTCCAAGATAATTTTAATCTCACTCGTTGACATTGTACTTTTGGTATCCCAGCATTGTTAAGATTTAGAAAATAAAGCTTCAGTAAGTTCGAAAACCTAATGGCTAACTTCCAAGACTTCGAATCTGAAGGTCCAATGTTCGCGTCTCGTTACAACAAAATCGCGCTAAGCCGTGGATGTGTTATAACAGTGACGGTCAAATCCCATATTTGATTAAAGTAGCCCAAGAGTTAAAGGTGGGTGTTGTTGACCAACTGCCTTCCTTATCATCTATCAGTTTAAAATTATGGACGGCAATCGCAGATAGCCAATGTGTAGCTTTGCGCGAATATCTGAAACAGCCAACAAATAAACAAGTGTGTTTCTTTTTCTTTCTTTTTTAATATCTCGAAAATTCTGCATTCTGAAATTAAGTACATCATTGGAAAGTTTCAGAAAGAGCCAATTTTGTCTTTAAATTCCGTAAAATATATGTTTTCATAAGTGATAATTACAGAGATATACTTATGTTGATAAAACATTTGCTTACATATATTAGACTTTGTGCGCAAGTATTCTAAACGCACTTCTTTTCAAACGATTTTTAATTAGGCATAATAAAAGAGCTAATGCTTGAGAGTGTAAAAGGACAAAGTAAAATGTGCGTGCATTTTATTGTGTAAGAATCAAACATAAGTTAAAATTAGTATTTAATTTGTTGGAAGACCCAAAACTGATTAAAACTTATTACCGAATCACTGAAAAATATAAGTATGTTAACTGGAAAAGCTGTATAGCAGGTTCTTTTGAATTATTTGGTAAAAATAATGTGAAATCCAGTAAAGATAACGAATGAATTAATTTTTTCAATAAAATATGTTACAAAATACATTCACTGGTGGGCCTAATTTCACGAACAACTTATCAACAAAAATTCTAAAACGCCAAAGTCATTTATAAACTTACTGGCAGAAATACAAGAAGCTTCCATATTCTACAAAAGCCTTAAATTTCATGAAATGTCTAGATTTTTGCATCTTCATGGTTTAATGATATACTCCCGTTAACAAACAGAAATCTAAATATTAAAAAAATATCTTACAATAGTGCCCCCTCTTTCTGGACTGTGAAGTCCCTTGAGCAATCTTCATACAGAAGTAAAATAACACAATAAACTCTCCATTCACCATATCTTTTTCTAATTTTCTATTCCGAGAGTTATGGTATGCAGATGGATAATATATTGTCTCTTGTCATGTCACTGGAAAGTTTCCTTTAGGTAGATGGTTGAATAATTCTACTGATGGCTCTATCCTTGATGATTCTCTAGAAGCGGTCTTAATAGGAATCCTGGGTTCTACAAAAAGGTTGACTTTTCAGTGTATATTCTACACTGGAATTACCCAGTTCACTGTTTTCTTAAGAACATGTTTCCAAATATGAACATTTATCCTTCTAGATCCTGTAAACCACATTATTGGCAGATTTAAATACAACATATGGCTCTTTCCATCATCTGCTTAATTTTGGAGTTCATCCTCTCTTGCAACAGGAATTAGACAGCCGTAATATGTCATCTCGATAAAATCCAGTCTATCATCAGGAACATCACAGTACTTTTTCATTTCATCGCTACATGATTTAATCATTTCCCTTGTAAAGTCATGTATAACATCAATGGTGTTCCTTAGTCTCCTTGCACAGTCTATGTAAAACTCTACTGAGTAGCTATCCTCTGGATGTGGGTACAATAGGTCCAATGGCAATTTAAGTTCTCTTCCAAACATCAGTGATGATGGTGTGTCACCTTTAGCTTCGTGTACTGCCATTCAATAACACATAAGTATCAGTGGAAGATCTTGATCCTTTGCTTTCTGATGTTTATCCACATAAATGACTGATTGATTTAAAAGTGTATGGTTGAATCTCTCTACCATGCTATTAGAAGATAGAGGAAGTACTGTTGTACTGGTCTCTTTGATCCTAAGCATTTGACGAATTTCTGCAAAGAAGGTAGCTTCAAAGTTCCATCCCTGACGTAAGAAAATTTTTTTAGGCCCCTCACTTCTTGAAACAAATTCATTGACAAGTTTTCTTGTTAATGCTTCTTCTTCCTGGTTAGGAATAGCACATTCTTCTAGCCGTTTGGTAAGATAGTTCACCACAACCATGATGTATTTATTCCTACTGTTACTATGTGGCAGAGGACCAATCACATCGACCTCAAATTTCTCAAGTGCTGCTCCAACACAATTTTGCTATAGCTGCCCATGCTCTTTCTTTCGTGAACCTTTTACCTCACACCATAGTTCACATTGTTCACGCCAATTCTCTACCAATAAAAGTGCTCTCTTACTCTCTACAGTATTTTCTTAGCACCTAAGTGCTCAACTGTTGGAAGGTTGTGGAGGTGATGGGGTGCTTTAGAATATAGAGATTGTGTACATATCAACTTTAGTTGTTTTTGTCCTCTGACATCTTCCCATTTCTCATCCCACAAGCCCTTGACTTTGGGCTGTAAGAAGCTTTTTTGCACTATTCTTGATCCGCTGAATAATTGGTTCAAACTTGCATCTTTTGCCTGTGTATCTTTCAATTTAGCATTTGAACAGATTAGTTTTTCATCATCACTTGTGAATGTCCTATCTTGGATATATTCTGTTATAATTTTGATTGGCAACCTTTATTGTTCTTTCCTATTTCAAAGTATTTGTACTGCTCATTAATACATGATCGTTGGGATAATGCATCAACATTTTCATGGCTCCATCTAGGGTTATACATGAGGTTGAAGTTGCATCCCAGAAGTTTCTGGACCAATCTTGCTATGTTGCCTTCTGGATTGTGAAAATTCACCCGCCACTTTTTGTCGCACCAACTAGCTACATTTTAAAGATTTTCCATCTAGGTAATGGTGGAAATGATTTAGGGCTTAAATAACACTTAATAGTATTTTTGAGTTTTATAATATCTTCTTTTTGCAACATTCATTACCTGCAATGGTGGGCACTCATTCACACCTTCTAGTTATTGTTCTACATGTGTTAACACTGGTCCCATATAAAATCACTAACATATGTATCCGATAGGTGTTGATTCTCAAGAGTTGAGTATACTAATACAGGAGTATTGGTTATATATTTCTTCACTTTGTTAAACACTTGTTCAGAATAAATGGTCCAACAAGGAATTTTCTTACCCTATGCAGCTTCTTTGGTGTTGACCAGTTTTGAACAGATTGAACACTCCTTCTCTACTGACTATATGTCCCACGAAACTCACTCATTGATGGAACACTTCGCACTCCTTGGGATTTGGCTTAAGATTCTCTTTCTTTAAACTTTCTTTGTTTGGCTCATCATAAGCATTATCAAAGGTCTTCCCAAGTGTGATTATGTCATCCAACTAGATGAGTACGATGTTGCATTATAGTTGAGAGAGAGCATACCTCATTAGTTGTCAGAATGTGGCAGTTGCATAACATAATCCAAATGATAACACAAAAAATTGCCAGGTATAAATTATTGCTGTTTTTTTGTTTTGTTTGTTTCTGAATTTAGCGCTAGCCATCCTTAATTTAGCAGTGTAAGACTAGAGGGAAGGCAGCTAGTCATCACCACCCACCGCCAACTCTCGGACTACTTTTTTACCAACGAATAATGGGATTGACCGTCGCGTTATAACACCCTCACGGCTGAAAGGGCGAGCATGTTTGGTGTGACGGGGATTCGAACCCGCAACCGCAGATTGCGAGTCGAGCACCCTAACCACCTGGCCATAATTCTTGCTGTACAGACTGTTTTCTCTCTAGTTGCTTTGTCGACTTGCATTTGCCAATATCCACTATTAAGATCCAGTGTCAAATAGTCTTTTGGTTTCTCAGTTAGTCAATGTTGTTGAGTTATCTAGCTACATTCTGGAATTAGTATCGTAGTATGATGGCTGGATTAATCCAGGAGCATCCTGCAGTAGCAGATGACACATCAGTAGTGGCAGTAAGTGTAGACCAAATGCGTTCTCTTATTCCATGATTTGTTTTAGGTTGGAATTGTTGGGCAAATGTAGAAAGATGTATGGCTGTTTTGATCTTTCCATTTACCAATCTTTTTCCAAATGTTTTATTTTGTCACTGATTTCTTTTTGTACTTCTTTAATTTTGTCATATTTTATTTTCACCAAAATATTCCCATGTCTGATAACAGTTGGCCCCCAGTGGCCCAGCGGTATGTCTGCGGACTAATAACTGATATTACTGAAGGTGTAAACAATTTTTATGTGGCTTAATAGTAAGAAAATTTCATTGTTTGAGAAAAAACACTAAGCTATGATAATCACGTGAACTTTTATAACAGTATTAGAAAATGAAAACAAAACATGTGTACAAAACAGAATTATTTTTGATATTTTTGACACCTATAAACCTTTTTTGGTCTGTAGGTAGATCTGATGATAAATTATTTTGTAGCGAATATTATTTCATCGACAAATAACACGTTCTTGAGGCAAGTTACGATTCGATGTCTTTTATATTCGAGATAATTAAGTTTCCATGTTAATTATAGGCCGTTTAAAAACCTTTTAAAATGTGAATTCTATGCATTTCAGTAACGATAAAGTTCATGTCCTAAAATACTAAAGATTTATGAACTTTGGTATTTTAAGACTAAATTCATTTCACATATTGCAGCTTTAATGTCATTATTATTTCATTTTATCTAGAGGTCTATTATATTGTTACGACAGCGGAAGTCACGCGACGTTGGG